AAATGCAAAATGGCATGGAATCTATAAAACTACTATGTTACTGATGTTCAAACTGGGTCAATCTTTTTACTCTTCTTACCAATGATAAAAATTTACAATGTATTATGCACATTTCGGAAAAATCCTTACCAAGTATTCAAGCTCTAAGAATGAAAAAAAAATTCTACATACGGTTTTAAAACTCTATAATGTGCAAAAATGACTATGTTGTAAACAGAAATGTTGTAAGCTATTGTAATCTTACACAAGCTAGTCCTGGTGTTAGTTCCAATGGTGGGAAAGTAAAAAGACAGTTTCATACCCAAAAACAGTATTGTTAGCTTCAATGTGGATCCCATTACTGGCTCCCCTGGGTCTTCTGCACACAAGATCAGGGCTGTTTTTGAATAGCAGCTTCTGATAGGGATTCTCATCAGCCCTTTGTCTCCTTGTGGTGCCATTCAAGGACAAAAAGAGATGGAGTGTCCACAACCCTCTCTTAGTTCACAATTTAAAGCATCTGATCAGCCTTTGGAGAGAGGGAATGAAGTGGATCCATGCAGTTGCCACCTCAAACAAATCAAAAGTTGCTCAAGGGGAAAGCATTTTTTTTCCTCAGTCACATCATTGTGGATCCTAATGAAGGTGACTGGCAATCAGAGTCCCTTCAGGAGGTGGTAATGAGGAGTTCCAGTGGATCAATTGAACAATCATGGTAGTACCATTCTTCCCAGCTTGGCATCTAAGATAGCAGTACTACAATGTTTCCTTGACAAAACCTCATTCCTGCAATCCTGATGGATCTTCACTGACATAAAAAAGGAAAGATGGAAAGGCTATTTATAGTAAAAGTAGTTCTTGAAGATCTGATCGTTGTGGATCCTCAAGACCCTTCTTCTTCCTCAGAATAGGAAGTGTAGCAAGCAAGAATCTCTTCCCTGAACTCATACAGAAACCTTTCTATGGTATCATTGAAATCACTTTTTTCTGTGGTAGGCTCTCATGAGAAGAGTACCTGGAGAAGGGATGTGGATGTGAATAGGGTAGGCATGGGCTCCTATACCCAACATCCATTTGTACCAGGCCACTTCAGACCAAGCCTAATGAAAAGAGGCAAGTTGGATCCATAAGGCGATTGTTAGCTCTTGATTATTTCTTAGAAGTTGACAGGAAATAGTTTCTTAAAATGCACTCAGGAGATCCTTTCTGAGGATGACTTACAAACCACACACTTATGTGCAAGGAACGGCAGCAGAGCAGACAGCTCTCAGGTTTCTTCTTGTTGTTATGGGCAGGAAAGAGGAACAGAGAGAGAGTCATGGTCACTCTGCTCTTGTGGCTCTCACATGGGAGCAGGTGACACAGGCACATGCATGGCTCCAATGAGCACCGCCATTCAAATGTCCTATCTTACATGTGGAAGGCAAGATATACATACAGGTATAGTGGGACAGACACACAGACAGACAGACAGACAGAGTCATTGCTGCAAAAAATGTAAAAAGCTGTTTAGCACATACTTCCAAACGAAAGGTGAAAGTGTAGCCTCACCCACCCACCTGCAGTGCACAGGAATTTACAATAAATGCACCCAATTAAATAGGCAAAACTACATCTACGCATGGAAACTCACCAAGCAAAAACTGCTGCATGACTGGAATATTAAGTTAAACCTAGCAGTAAGCATAGGAATGCTCATAGCTGCAGGTAAGGATGAAATGTGCCTCTATATCTGTCCTCTGCATCATAAGTAAATGTCTTTAAAGCATGTGTAGCCAATAACATCCTGATGCACTAGACTCTAGCACCAGGGCTGGGCATCTCTATGAGAGATTTGCTCTGAGGCTTTAAACACAAGTAGAGGGAGAGCTGTGATCTGCCATCATGGCTGCAGAAGGGTGCCTCAGATCTGACTCCTAACATAATTAACCAGCATTAATTTCAACAGAAGCTATTACACCATCCCTAAAGCATGAACCCCTGGTTTCTTCCTTTCACCCCAAAGCCATGGAACACAAAGATGACATAGTGTCAATCACCACTGAAGACAGCATGAACAAGTTACTTTAAGTAGCTTAAACAGTCAAAGGAAGAAGGCCGCACAACAACTAGAATCCTATTACATGCCACTTTGGGTCTAGGTGCCTTTTGTTTTGTGTCACTGCATTCCATTTCCAACATTTTTTTCCAGTGAATTTGGTCCTGAAAAGCCAGACAGAGCATCTCTCCACACAACTGGTATTTCTGGGACTTTACAAGTACAACTTCCCACTGCAATGGGTCTGCTGGCATGGAGGGGTCTGACTGAGGCAGTCAGTGGCTTTGCCTCACTCAGTATCTGGTCTCTCTGTTAGTGGTATTAATTAGCTCCAATTGTGAATATCGACCTTAGAAGCTAGACTAAGAGCAACATTTCTTCTCACATTTGCCACCTAGTGCTAGCAGTGGGTCACCATCAACCAGGTGATTTCAAACCAGTGACTTAAAAGAGACAAAGAGCTCTGTATCACAAGCCCTCCTAAGCCAGCCACTCCCCTTGCCTGATGACAGTTTTTGGTGGGCGACTGCAGACTACCGCATCAGTATCTGACAGCACAGATATCATCCAGCTGAGCTGGTAGCATCTGAGTGACCTTGAGGTGCCTGGTCCCTATAGAATGAACCTTTGTTCATTCTATAGAGGTCATCAGTAGCAGCAGGGGAAAGGAGATTGCCAAGCTACCCATTTTGTGGCAGCTGCTGCTGGTTGGTCTCTAGATAGGTTCTTCTGGCAGCCCATCTGCTTGCTCAACTGGAGCTAGGGCAGGTGAGGGAGAGTTTGCTAATCTTGGCTTCACCGGGTTCCCTACTGAAACAAAAACTAGTATGTGCAGCAAGCTAATGCAGTAATCTGGTGACTGATCTCAACTCAAAGCCCAAAGTGACTGAATTGGACCTGAATCTGATCAACCATTTTCCTAACAGGGCAAAAACACTGGTGAGGGTGAGGATAGGTAGCACCTGGGGTTGGAGGGATGGGGGAGAAGGGGGAAATCAAACAACAGGCCTGTTTCCAAATGATGGGACAGACAGCTCTTGTGGCTGGAGAATGGGAAGTCAGGACTCTTAGTTTCTAGCCCCAAGTCTAAAACTGAGTTAAAATCTTAAGACTTCTCACTTAGCTGCTCTGCCTTGCATTCTCTCAAGGGAAATACCTGGTTCATGGAGCAGTGTGGGGCTTACCATTTCTAAGGTATTTGGGGATGCTTGATGAGAAAGGTGGAATATATAAGGATAGAAAGACAAGAGCAGGAGCTATCTGAATGCTCAAAGGAAGTCTATTCCTTCTTTTTTCAAAATCCATTGCCTACTACAGCTGGAAGGAGCATGCACTGTACACAAGTCTTGGCAAATGGTGAGCAGCAATGTATGATCCTGTGGTAAGCTCTCTGTTATATAATTGTCTCATCTCCATTTGTCTATTTGGACTGCATGCTGTACTCAGTCTGACATGCAGGCTATAAGCTCTCTGGGCCAGGGACTCCTATCTAAACACAACAGGACTGTGTAAATCAACGACTGTATTGCCCATGTGCTGCCATAACAGGAACAGTAAAAAAACAACTCATAATATGCAGTGCATTTTGAGGGTGACTACCTGCCCTGCCCCAAGTACACGCACCTTTGGGGCACTGTGTAGCAGCAGAAGAGCCTGCTAATGGTCTCCATCGTCATCATATTCCTCTTCTATCTGCTGCAAGATTTCATCCAAAATCACGGATTGCTTTTTCTTCTTTGAGGAACCTGCTTAGGCCCAGACAGCAGGGAATAGGGTGGGTGAAGAGGAGAGAAGAAAGACACAGTTACAATGACATCTGCACCTCGATGCAATACTCCTGCAAAGTGATCCCACAACCTGCTTATACTGCGCCTTCTGCAGCACCAGCAACAACCACATCCATACCCTTTAGTGTTTGGCACAGCAAGAATAGGATTTGGGTGTTTTTGCCTCAAAGGCTCTCCTGCTCAGATTACGCTGCTCCATTCTGATGCCTTCTAGAAGCTAAGCATCACTTTCAGTGGCAGAGGAGGAGATGGCCAAGTAAGCCCATGCCCCAGTCTCTGCTCTGCTAAGGCCTGTAACAAGGGGTAGGAAAAGAGATGATTGCCTGGGGAAGATCCCATGCTGCTCATACTCTTCCTTAAGAGCAGAGGAGAGAAGAATAATTCCAGATCTGGAAGTGGCTGTCCCCTTATCTTTGTAGAAGCAGCAATGGCAGGGCAGGGCAGTATAAGGGGCTTGGAGAGTGCATCTCTCTCCACTTGCTTCTTTTAAGATGGGAGATGTGTGTGAGGTGTGATCAAAGACTGGACTGTAGGAGGGGTAGGAGTCCTCTAGTGAGAACAGACCTGTGTGCCTCATTGGGCAAAGTGTCTGGGAGAAATGGATGTCTTGAATGTTCATGTCAGGAGCCTGCCTGGGAGGCTTAAAGCATTCAACTGGGGAGGCAGGAGGAAGAAAACAAAGCATCTGGTCTCAGAGACACAAGGGTGAGGGAGATAAGTTAACCTGGAGACCATTCCTTATGACAAAGGGGCACCTCCTGCACAGGGGAGCAGGTAACCAGCAGCCTCCCCACCATCCCCCCTGGACAGGCAGTAGAGGAGGGAAGCAGGCAGCCCCCCCATCAGCCCTGGACCATCTCCCAGGCTGCCTTTACAAATCACTTGCTTCCCTCTTTGCTAGTTCTTCCCCCCATTCCCCAACTCTCTTCACCACCTCATCCCCTTCCCGCATAAAGCCCTCAACTATCATTTGCTTCTTCATAATAATCAGGCTCTGGCAGCACACAATGGCCTCTGGAAATTGAATTTGCAGGGAGGTAATGGGAGCTGTGGCAGTGGCAGCAGCCAGAAACAGAAGGGCAGGTGCGGCAAAGCATGAACTAAGTGCCTGTCACTCTCCTGGCTCATGTTAACTATGGGGCTCTGCCATGGAGACAAGCCTGATTTCACTCTGATCCCCAAAAAGGGGCACTCCCTGGGGCTAAGCGTTCCACAGGAGCAGGGGCGCTGTGAGGAACAACCACAGCTCACTGCCACCAGGGCCAGCTGGATGTTTAACTCTTTGTAGTGGTCCACTGGGCTAAAGAGCTTTTGCAAACTATGCAAATAGGCCCTGCTTTAGAAAAATACGTTAGGTCTCTTGAAATGCCAGCTTCTTTACACCTCCTCCTCTACTGAATTCATTCATAAGGAGCAAGAAAAGGGGGCATGGAGTCTCCAGACAGGATTCCTGCTAGTAAGGTTCCTGGGTACCAGAAACAAGGCAAATGTTGCCGAAAGGTAGAGGAAGAGAGACCAGTCCCATCTGACACTTATCAGAAAAGGCTATGATCCATTCCAGACAGGACTACACTCCATCTTGGAGGTACAAATCCCTGTGTCCAGTGATTACCACCATACCTTCCTAACCTGCCAGACTGATCCCACATGTTATTCGTGACTTATGCCGTGTTACTGAGTTGTGATTAATTATTTAAGTCACATGGTCCTTTACTGTCCCCATCTTTGACTGCTAGTGCCAGCACAACTGTTTGCCTGACACTAGCTCTTTGGGAAGGTTTGACATTTGGGGTAACTTGCTTGGTGAATTATTGTCCAGAGAGGACCCAGAGGGCAGTGTGCACAGCTGGGGTTAATTAATTTAAGATGCCAGGTGAATACCCAGGAAAAATGTAGCACCTGGCTGTAGTGGCAATGGAGACCTTTACCCCTGCTCATTGAGATGATGGCCCAGCAGTAACCTGTCTCTAATCAGCAAGAATGCCCACTCCATAGGAACCACAGACAAGCTCCCTACCTCCTCCTCCCCATGAGAAGTACAGGAACAGCTGTTTAAACCCCGCTCCCAGACATCAAAAGCCTCACTGGGTTTCTCAAACAAACAAACATACCATAGGACTGAAGAAAGGTGTAAAATAAATAAATGGAACAAGCTGTGCATTTTCTTTTACTATTACAGCTGCTGCTGGAGATAAACAACAAGTAAATGTCACAAAACATCAATACAGAAGAAATTAACCTGACAAAAGCTCACATCACCCCCCTTCCTTCTCCCCCCCACCCCCCAAACAATTTTGCATTTCTGGAGTTCCCATCTAATGATTTTATTTTTCAATTAATTCCTTGACAGAATGCCAGAATTGGTCGCCCTCCACTTCTGCACTTCATGAATTCTGTGGGAAACAGGCAGAAGTGGGTGGGGGGGAAGATGAGAGAGGAAAAAATATATTTTCTTGATGTGCCTTCCACCTCTGAGGCAGACCCTTGGAGAGATTAAAGGGGCTAGAATCATCTATTAAGAAAGCAAAGAAACCTAAAAACATCCTTAAAGGGAGAGGTAAGGTGGCAGCTGTATTTGGCCCAAGCACTGAAAGCTAACCCAATGAAACCTGTCTGATGAGCTAACCTGTTTGAAAGCCTGGCACTTCACAGATATCAGCAACCTTAACTCTGCCCTAGAACCCTACCCAGCTACCACCTGCAGACCCTGTGGTACTGCCCAACCACCATCTTACTAGCATCGACACTGTGTCATTTCCCACCTTACTTTCCATACTCAGGATGAACACCTTCCCCCATTTACTGCCATTGTTTCTTCCCCTGTCTCCATACAGGCTGGAGACCACACTACATTGTCACAGAGAAATGAGAATACCTCCTTCACATGCAGGCAGCAAATCCAGCAAACACCTTATACTACAGATTGAACGAAGAAGGAAGTGTTACAAATAGACCCTGTTGCACTAATTTACATGTGGAACCACGGACACATAACGGGGGCTGGAGTCCAAGATGAAATAGTAGTTCTGTACCACTATAAAGGAGATCAGAAACAAGCTATATACATTTAGGGAAGGCAAAAATTGCTGTCAGTCTGCAGATTTATGCTGAAAACTTAACTCCTAGTTCCCAAGTTTCAAACAAAAGCCAACCAACCAGGAAAACCTCCCCTCAATATACAGCAAAGTCAAATGATTTGGTGTTATTTAAAAAAACCCAAAACCATTAATCATAATAGAATCCAACATGTTGATAGGTTGCTTGTGACTTTGGCTTATTTTTAACACCCACTTCTGATGTGCTTTTAATCATCTCTAATCCTCATTACCCATGTTGTACACAATGCTTATAATATTTTATCGATCACTTAGGAGTCCTTCATAAACTATTTACTACACACAAAAATCTATGCCAACAGAACATTACAGTTACAAAATCAAGTGCTCCAAAAAGCAGGAAATAAAAGAATTAATACCGTCTGTGCAATCTTAATATGATCCCATATGTGATACAGTAGACGCAGGCTGAGGATCTCACCTTACCTTCCCTAAAAGAGGCATGAAATGCTAGTGGCTTGTATCTTTCCCTCTTACAGTGTGTTAATGCCCAACTTAAAAAAAAAAAATGTTCAACATTTTCTGGGACCATTCAAAACTCTGGGTGCTCCATAATTAAAACAAACAACCCTTTCAACACAAAATGTCAGATGCGCTGTAACAGATATGTGTCGGTTCAATCCTCATCACCTTAGCACTACAGCCTCCAGTCTAATAGAGAGAGGCCTCTGCTCAACAGCCATACAGGTAGGATACAGGTTTCCCTTGCTTTATGCTGTACATGCATTCCTGGAAAACAGTGCATTACTCACATTTGCATAAAGGAAATCCACTTTGCAATGTAACAAATAGGGATATGTTCCTAGACCTTAACTGTACTGACCCCCAGACCCATTTCTACCACTTTTACAAGACAATTTTGGTACTAACCAACAGCAGACAGTACACACAAGGCACAGGACACTTTTATAATGGGGATGGCAACTACAGAAATACATGTCGCAGACAACAAGCGAGGAGCACAGATCCACACAGGACACTATATTTTGGTGTACGTCACTCCCATGATGCGCTGCACAAAGCAGCTGACTGTGGACTTCCACACCAATTGTGTAAGAGTGAATTTACCTTGCATATAATGAATTTTTGCTTTAAAAAGGGTCATTGCATAAGAGCAAATTCACACACGCACAACCTGCATAAAGCGAGGGAAACTTGTAGTGCTATTATCTCAATTTTAAAGCCTAGGAGATGAGGTACAGGGAGACCAAGAAACATGTGCATCTCTTACTCTGTATTCTTTGTGCTGCCTGGGAGGAAATCCACGTAGTCTCCAATGATTCAAATTTTGACTTCAAATATTACACGCACACATGCACACACACTGGAAGTTAACCAATATCGCACAGGCTGGTGGTGGTCAGATATAAAACTCAGGACTCCTGGCTGCTCCCTCCCTCTCCCTCCCCTAGCTAATACACATTTCTGGGGAGCTGGAAATATATGTTCCAAGGTGCACAAGCAGCACTGGCAGGGAAATTTCAGCAGCTGAGCACGTACATCTGAAGGAGCTTAAGAAATTTGAAAAGGGGCTGCAGAAAGCCTTATGAATGGGACACCATCTAGGAAAGAAGTCTTCCCTCTCCTAAGCTGCTTGCCTTTTGTTTAGTTCAGTAATACAAGCTGGCAGGGGGGACCGGCTGGCTCTGGGGATGAGTAATGAGAATGCAGAGCCTTTCACCTCTAGGTCGTCACTTGCAATCTAGCTCAGATCACGGAGTGAAACTTACCACTAACCAATGGCTCTTTGGTGGCCTGTGGGAAGTCAGTCAGTCACCAGTGTGGTCTAGTGGTCAGGTGCACTTCACCTCTGCACCAGCAAAAACCAACCAGGCTCCTCAA